GATTATTGTGTTTACAGGTTAAAATGGCAAGCCCCAGCAGTCACGTTGATCGGCCCCTCGTGAAGAGTCCGGCCTTGCAGAATGGTTCTCTAGGCATACAGACTATTGATGCAAATTGGCCAACTTGAGCTTTCTTCAGCCTAATTTATCCAATGTGAACTGTGAACTCTTAGATTTAATTAGAGGTTCTATAATATTAGTTTTCCAATGTATCGCATGAAAAGGAAAACAATCCAAATGACAAAGGGTGTAAAGAACAGACATCACACTGAAAAGTTATCGTAACTATACTAAAGAGTACATGTCTACGGGGAAGAAAACACCAATGAGAAACTTTATTTAGGGGGTTCGAAACATGAACTGAACTCAGTTACTCTTAATTTTAATGTACTAACAAAAGCATTTATTGCCACGTACAATCTGTATATACAACTGAATGAAAACTGTACAATTGCTGAACTAGCAAGTTGTTTAATGTATTCTTCATATATCAATATTTTTAAAACGTAAATGAAGTAATTCTTATACAATGAAAAAATGCCACATTTGATCACGGTAAAAATCACACTGTACGATCAGAATGTTGTTTTAGGCTTTACAGCATCATGATCTCAGCAATGCATGGAATAATCAGCGCTTACAGTAATATAACTTTCCCCAATTTACAAGGCAATCGATAATTAGGGGTATCGAATGGTCTTAGCGAGCATGCGAGCAGTTTGTTTATTTTTGCGGGCTCGAGCAGCTGTCAAATTCTTCTCGCGAGCAGCGAGCACTTTAGAAAATACAGATGGCGAGCAACGAGCGGTTTAGAAAAATAAAGATGGCGAGCAGCGAGCACTTCGAGTACAGTATTGACTATTTGTAATCTAGTGGAGTGAATCTGTTATTAAAACAAACCAAAGAGAACAAATGAACGAAATAATAGCGAAATACGTGTGTTTTGAAACTTTGTAAATTTCCTAGCCGTCCCATACAGAACTAAAATGTTAAACACCGAATTCCTCTTGAGTAATGAAACTTCAACAGCAATTTAGTCGCGTTTTTAATTTGAACTCAACAAAATGGCAAATCGCCGTAATGAAATCTTAACTCCCTCAGTTCAAGCGCGACAACAATCTCGAAAAACTTCACCCCGGGATCCCGGGGATGTAAGACTGAATGTAAACACAGGCTAATTTCGATGATGGCTTGGTGGGTTACCTCACTTACCTGGAGTCCTGTGAATGCCAAATACAGCACCGTGCCGCAAAGAGTACGACGCATAAATTATGACTGATTATGCAATTGAAGCCATGTGGTTAATCAGTATTTCTCACGCAAGATACGGCTTTGTCAAACTGCTCTCGCTGTAGACGCCATCCTTTTGGTGACATACTTTGTTTGGTGCTGGATTCTTGTCTAATCTTTAGCCTACTCATTTTACAAAAAGTGAAAACAGCCCACAAGACGCTTACATCCCCAAGTTTAACGTTGCGTAAATTGAGTACTGCGGGTCTCCTTATTTTTACCCTGTTTACCTATTACTCAGGTTGCAGGTTATTCAGATTTAGGTAGCGACAATTTTTCCAAGAGAACAAGGACTACAACAAGGGCCTATGATAAAAATGTTATTTATGGTAACAAATGGCTGAGTAATTAAATCGAAATAAATTTTCGAGAGAGATCATACAAATATTACGAAAAGATAGCGTAGTAATATTCTCCAAAGTTGAAAAATGTTTGAGTAGGTGAGGAATGTGATAGCCGATAAAGAAACTTGTTACAAACCTACAAGAACACTACCAACGATTTGGTTTTGTCTAGTACCGTACGATATCGGGATTCTGATGACTTTTCAACAGCAGCAATTCATATCGTTCTCCTTATAGGACTGACTTGAGCTGTTATTTCAATGACCTTCGAATATGTAATCGTGACATTCGCTTAATTCAAAATAATCACGACCTTGACAACGGAAAATAAAATTTCCTTACTGTCACGCGATCACGTGTTGAGGTCTTTGCCTTACTTTACAGTTGCATTTCTCTGATCCCTATATCTATCTAGTAAGTAAATTTGATTCCTTGCGTTTAAAATGGTGAGACTGTTGTCATTTTCACGATTGTCCGAGGATAAGTTGAACGGACAAATTTTCTCCAAAAAAGAAACCTGTTTGAGACTCTCAGTCAGTGGATTGGAGACAAGCGAAGGACCGGGCAAGTTGAAGTCGGTGGTCACGATTTCCTGATCCCACGGCAGGTCTTTCGCTCATTTCCATTAACCGAGAGCGTGACAAGGCTAACATCGGCCCCGCTCCCTAAACAAGAAAAGCGAGAGGTGGGCTTATACCCGGAGGGGTGGGGAGGGGGGGGGACACTTATGATTTTTTTTTGTTTTTGTTTTGTTTTGTTTTGTTTGGGTAAACAGGCCTTTAACAGTTCAATTAAAAGTTCAATAATAAGCCACCAAACGATGAAACTTGACTTTTTCATGATCATATACCCTGTAATCTTTTCAATGCGTGAAAATGTGGTAGAACATGTTCATAGGTTCAACTACCCAGCACATTGGCTACTATTTCAGTTTTAAAATAAAATCTCACTTTTTAAAAGCTGGAAATTTACACAGGAAATGACGTTACCATATCTGGGGTGACTAAAAATGGAATCATAAAATGGTCACCATTTTAGA